CTCCGGGTTACCTATTTAGGGTATTTTCCGGTATTTCATGTGTTTTCCGGTATTAAGTATAAAATGGTGTTTTCCGGTTGTTTTCCGGTGTTTTCCGGTTTATAGTATTGCCGCATGTGAAGTGGTTAATACATTTTTTGCTGTATCTATCAACTTAAACCAGCGGAAAGGTAGCACCATGCGTTTTAACAAGAGTAAAGATCTAAGCCATATATTCTTGCCCAGTCCACGGCCTACCTTCACCTACTACTAACGCAGAAGACGCTCCGGTAAGGGGATATTAATTTACATAAAGGCTAGGTCTACCTAAAGAGTACCTAGCTGTGTTGTTTACATTTCCTTGAATGGTTACATCTGTCATTTCTATTTATAGATTTTGAAAGCGTGTCGGTTTCACCAAAGAACTATGCACAGTTTTAACATAGAAAGATAACATAACTGCTATATCTTGATCGACATAATAATATTATTAAAATTACACTGGTCAAGTTCGTAAGCAGATAACCAGAAATGCTCCGAACAAAGAGAAGTGTGTACTGTGTTGACTTCGCCTCGTTGACATCGCTATGTTCAGACCTTTCTGCGTGTTGTCTCGCTTGGAAATTAAACTAAAAAAAAAATGACACGTGCTTCGCGATTTATTGTTGGTGCTATTAGTACATCCCCAAGCAACGCAATTGACGATGTTTATGCTTCCAGTTAGTCAAATGACGGAATGCAGTGCTCAGTTGCAACGTAGATAATTACCGTATTATCTACGGAAAAAATCAAAACAAAGCTGCACATATGCATAAATGTCAATTCGGTTTTTTTGGGGTATATTTTTCCTTTCTTTGTAAGAATGTTCAGAGTAACTTTTAAAATTTCGCAGGGCCACAATTATTCTAATTTTAACGTTATTTTTCATATTGTGCGGTAGTATTTTCCTTTAACCATCATTAGGGTGTTAATTACGATGATATATTTAAACTTTTTATTAAAATCATATCCACAATCATGGGCCATAATCTAGGAAGTTACAGTCCGAAATGCGCATATATCGATAGGAACCAGTATCGTTTTGCGTTATGAACATACATTTAAAGTTTCATTAAAATCAGATAAAAAGTGTGACTTCAAGAGGGTGTACAACCTTGGTATTACATAATTTTAGACTATTTGCGTACAAGGAGCGATCGGGCATTTTTTCCGGCAGTTTCTGTCGGATTTATACGAAATTCGCATACAACCGCCATTTTGATGTAAAGGTGATATATTCGAACGTTTCTTTTAAATCGGATAGAGGGTTAGAGCAGAACAGTAAGATATTAAACTCCATTTGTTTTGTTTTCTCTCCATTACAATGTTGTCACTCCCATTACAGTATTATTCAGTTTTGGCCATATCTACTTTAGTGAGAAAACTAAATATCTGTAGATGCTATGTTTCAGGGCAACGTGAAGTTGGCACGTTATTCGGGATTCGCCAATAACGAATAACGAGCCAGCACGTTATTCGGGATTCGCCACTAAAACATAACGATCTATCTTGCATCTGACCATTCCTCATTGGGTGACCGATTAGCACGGAGACGACCGTTTCTCAAGCGAGTGGGGTACTCGGGATTCGGCAATAAAACAGGTGATTGCTGGAGATGACTGCCTCGTGCACTCTAACAAACCATTCAGTACCCCACTCGCTTGAGAAACGGTCGTCTCCGTGCTAATCGGTCACCCAATGAGGAATGGTCAGATGCAAGATAGATCGTTCAGTTTTTAGTGGTGAATCCCAAATCCCGAATAACGTGCTGGCTCGTTATTCGTTATTGGCGAATCCCGAATAACGAGCCAGCACGGTATTCAGGATTCGCGAATCCCGAATAACATGCCAACTTCACGTTGCCTCATGTTTCAGTTTAAATATTTGTTAGAACTTTAGTCTCAAATCCTATCTGAAAAAAGTCGAACTTATATAGGCCCTCGTCTGTAGTTAAATCCTATTCAGTTTATCGAATAAATTCTTTAAACAAATTACTGGTCTATAAAGGGAGATAACCCATATTACCGCAAATGGAATGCAAAGTCCGCCGGTGCACTAGTCCGCCGCTATAAGAAATACTATAAATATGGGTATCAATGAACCTAACCCTAATCCAAATAATAGATATCGGTGGACTAATGAACCCGCGGACTTGTGAACTAGTAAACCCGGACTATTGAGCATTCCCCGTCCAGTATATATTCCCCCTTTTTGATTTAAATCAAAATATAACCGAGGATGAAGGCATTGGGTGTTTTCTCCAATATTTAATTTTATTTCAACTTCACAATGGTTAGTATAACTATAGCATTTACTTGGCAATTATCACAATTTTCATATGGCCCTAAATCGACATCGTTGACATCGCTATGTTCAGACCTTTCTGCGTGTTGTCTCGCTTGGAAATTAAACTAAAAAAAAATGACACGTGCTTCGCGATTTATTGTTGGTGCTATTAGTACATCCCCAAGCAACGCAATTGACGATGTTTATGCTTCCAGTTAGTCAAATGACGGAATGCAGTGCTCAGTTGCAACATAGATAATACCGTATTATCTACGGAAAAAATCAAAACAAAGCTGCACATATGCATAAATGTCAATTCGGTTTTTTTGGGGTATATTTTTCCTTTGTAAGAATGTTCAGAGTAACTTTTAAAATTTCGCAGGGCCACAATTATTCTAATATTAACGTTATTTTTCATATTGAAACAACCTTGTGCGGTAGTATTTTCCTTTAACCATCATTAGGTGTTAATTACGATGATATATTTAAACTTTTTTTTTAAAATCATATCCACAATCATGGGCCATAATCTAGGAAGTTACAGTCCGAAATGCGCATATATCGATAGGAACCAGTATCGTTTTGCGTTATGAACATACATTTAAAGTTTCATTAAAATCAGATAAAAAGTGTGACTTCAAGAGGGTGTACAACCTTGGTATTACATAATTTTAGACTATTTGCGTACAAGGAGCGATCGGGCATTTTTTCCGGCAGTTTCTGTCGGATTTATACGAAATTCGCATACAACCGCCATTTTGATGTAAAGGTGATATATTCGAACATTTCTTTTAAATCGGATAGAGGGTTAGAGCAGAACAGTAAGATATTAAACTCCATTTGTTTTGTTTTCTCTCCATTACAATGTTGTCACTCCCATTACAGTATTATTCAGTTTTGGCCATATCTACTTTAGTGAGAAAACTAAATATCTGTAGATGCTATGTTTCAGGGCAACGTGAAGTTGGCACGTTATTCGGGATTCGCCAATAACGAATAACGAGCCAGCACGTTATTCGGGATTCGCCACTAAAACATAACGATCTATCTTGCATCTGACCATTCCTCATTGGGTGACCGATTAGCACGGAGACGACCGTTTCTCAAGCGAGTGGGGTACTCGGGATTCGGCAATAAAACAGGTGATTGCTGGAGATGACTGCCTCGTGCACTCTAACAAACCATTCAGTACCCCACTCGCTTGAGAAACGGTCGTCTCCGTGCTAATCGGTCACCCAATGAGGAATGGTCAGATGCAAGATAGATCGTTCAGTTTTTAGTGGTGAATCCCAAATCCCGAATAACGTGCTGGCTCGTTATTCGTTATTGGCGAATCCCGAATAACGAGCCAGCACGGTATTCAGGATTCGCGAATCCCGAATAACATGCCAACTTCACGTTGCCTCATGTTTCAGTTTAAATATTTGTTAGAACTTTAGTCTCAAATCCTATCTGAAAAAAGTCGAACTTATATAGGCCCTCGTCTGTAGTTAAATCCTATTCAGTTTATCGAATAAATTCTTTAAACAAATTACTGGTCCATAAAGGGAGATAACCCATATTACCGCAAATGGAATGCAAAGTCCGCCGGTGCACTAGTCCGCCGCTATAAGAAATACTATAAATATGGGTATCAATGAACCTAACCCTAATCCAAATAATAGATATCGGTGGACTAATGAACCCGCGGACTTGTGAACTAGTAAACCCGGACTATTGAGCATTCCCCGTCCAGTATATATTCCCCCTTTTTGATTTAAATCAAAATATAACCGAGGATGAAGGCATTGGGTGTTTTCTCCAATATTTAATTTTATTTCAACTTCACAATGGTTAGTATAACTATAGCATTTACTTGGCAATTATCACAATTTTCATATGGCCCTAAATCGAGTTATTGCAAACACTGTGCTTGGAATTCTCTGGATTTGTGTTCCTGGTGTTATAAGCTTTCCAAAAATGTATAGTTGTTTAGTAGGGAGGACCTTGTTGCGGAATTGTGTTTCTAAGCAAGCTAGAAATTTTGGCTGCAGGCCTATACGAGGAGCGGTCATTTTGTCCGGCAATTTCGGTCCGATTTTCACGAAATTTGAACTCAACAATCATTATGGTGTAACGATGATATATAATTAACCCGTTTTGTTAAATCGGACAAAAATTGGGATATCTAGAGGGACATCTTACAATCAGGGGTCATAATTCAGGAGGTTACAGTCCGATATGCGCGAATGTCGACAGGAACCGAGATCGTTGGGTTATAAACATACATTGCAAGTTTCATCAAAATCGGATGGATGAACATTGTGACCTCAAGAGAGTCCACAAGCTAAAAACGTGATTTTTTCGTACAATCAGGGGCCATAATCCATGAAGTTCCTTCCGTGACTTAATTAAGTCACTTCTAGTCACGTGACGCATAACAATACCAACTAAGTTCATTTGGCGGCCCTGGCAAGGAAAGTGTCAGGTCTGATGTACACATTGGCGTACACGTAAAATAACCCTTGACAGCTGGAATTCGAAATAAGATTAAGAGTAGGCCGTAGCGCCGCTTAATGGACAAAATTCACCACATAGCACACTGTATGGCCTATGCCCCTCTTCAATAGCCCGCACGTGCGGATAGTGGAACTTAAAACCTTATTCATTTTATTTCCATTGGGTTTGTTATAAAATTAACGCAAATGTTACATTGCATCGTTTAATTGTGCTTATTTACTAAAACTGATTATATCTTTATTTACTTAAAGTGACATATATATATATCTACATTATAATATTATGTTTATTCGGTTAACGCTACATATATAGGTTCAAGAACCTTTGAAATTAAAGCAGATTACTAACTGTATTTATTCTATGGAACATATTAAAGTTAATTAGAAGAGGTTTAAATTTGTTCTGGTATATAATATTTTATTGGTATTTTTACATATTTCTCATATGCTAATGCGGATGGACATTAATACGCTGTAGATTGATAGATATGGGTACTTCTTTTTCTTCGTCTTGTTGTTTAATAACCAGAGAACGTCTTTGACATTACTAACATAACCAATGGCAACATCCATGATATGGCTCGACCAGCACCTTCGAATTAAAAAACAAAACAGAATGGTAATGCAATCACCAATACATATGACAAACTGTTCCATAACTTTAATCAAATTGTCTGTCTTTCAAAATATGGACGATTATTTAGACACATTGAATAACTGAACTTATTAACCCCCAGCTGGTTTTGATAATATATGATACTAGTTTATAAACTCTACGACCTTGGTCCTAAGAATGTATTCGCTGTGTTGGATTAACATATTGACATGCTACATATGATATGTGTATAACCTGGCCATTTTCTTAAAGATACATTATGGGAGATTCGATAACGAGTTGGCAGTTCTCACTATACTAGTTAAAAACTAGATAATGTAAAGGCAATTTGCTGAAAATTTCATTCAAATTGATCCACTATGAACCGAGAACTAAGCGTTTGAAATTTCCGCCTAGCCTCGATCATCATTACTAAAGTCAATACGATAAACAGCATAGCCTCGATTATCCATTTAATCGTTAAATCGTGAAGGAAAGTTATACAGTAAATCGGCTCATAATCCACTGAAGATCGCAGGCTAGCGATGCCATCTAGAGTTGATTATGGTCTGGATAGGTTAATTAATGTCTAATTAATAATTTAGATAACATTTCAGGCCTAAAGAAAGACCTGCAATAGGTAGATTTAGCTTTAGCATAATGTATGGTTAAAATGAAAAACGTAGTGGTCAGCTATGGTAATAAACAACTACATGTATAATGGTGATTTTGGGGTGTGAGACTGACTCAAATCCCGTTCGTAGCCAATTTCCCTAATTGTTGAACGCTATATAAACATGAGTTTACTGACAGTAAAACAAGCTGTTATCATTATGCTGATATTTTGTTATCTGTAGTGGTACACAGATAATATATTGCAGATTTCAACATTTACGTTCAAACAAACTCGGTTGGTGGACTGAAAAAAAACCCACGTGGATAAAAATGGTAAATTAAATGTCGGTTATTTAATATTGAATCATGAACGGACGGAAATATGTCAACGGTGTGGGCGGAGGGATTGAGATCTATAATATACTAAAAACGCCTTCTTACCACTGCTACAGCTCTCATAACCAAATTTCAGCTTTATCTCAGCTAGACCTGGACATCGAGCGGTTATCACACAATCAATGTATTTTCTTATCTTCCTGAAATAGAATCAAATGATCAAACATTAATCTAATGTGAAAAGCAGTGGGTTCAAATATCCAAAATGTGAATGATTTCATTCAGATATTTATGGATAATTGAACTTTTGTCAAAGTGACATAATACCGTACAGAGACCATGCATATCTGACCAAACCATAATTTTCTCCAATCTGTATCCTGGTCCTTGTTTGCGATTGTATCTTGCTCACTAGTGAAAAAAGATGGTTTGGTAAGGCATGTATGGGATCATACAAACTATATATTCCTTATTTATCTATTTATCAAAACTTCATTTATCCATAATTTTGTCAACTCTTTTATTGAAATCATTATCATTTTGGATACGATGTGTATAATATGCATAGCTAAGATATATCTTTGGTTTTCGGTCACAATTTTTATATACTGGTTCTTGTATATTATAAGTAAGACACAGTTGGACCATTTCCAACAGAACGGTACTTAAAGTAATAAATTGCGTTTCGTTTCTGTTAACTTCCCATGGCCTCGACTCCAAAGTGATATTTCAGGTTTGTGTCGGAGATCACGTAAAGGGGCACGCGGGTGGACCTTGACAGAAAGGCAAAGACTTTTTAAAGTTAATTTTCTTTTCTTTCCATTTGTGACTCCCGGAATTCTGTTCACAGATCAAACTGTAGTGTAGGCCAACAAAACGAGATTTGAATTATAACAAACCAACAGTGAGGTTGATGTCCCCAGCCGCAATCCCAAAATAAATAGATGACACATATCAAAGATGGGTTCCCGCGTACAAACTGGGTGATTTAATGGTATATATGGACTAAAAACATATTCAAACTAATTAATTTGTCAAAAATTTTGCTTCAAATCATTCTCAAACATTGTAATTGCGAAGGAATGTCCTGCTAAAAATTCGATCAAACCCGGTCATGTTTACGTCACGTGACTTACCTCTCTTGGAAGTCAGAGGAGAATGCATTGCATACATAAGACGATGTTGTCTTTAATCGCTTACTATTTATTACAAATATCGAATCCTAATTAAATTCTCGGATTATCCACTACCCGCGTCTTTTTTATCTCAGAAAGTGTTGTACGTCTAACTCTTCATAAAGTTTATCAACTTATACATCAAGGGCTGAATGTTCGCATGTAACCTTTGACATCACGCGTGCAGAAATTCCTAAACGTCGGGCTGTCGATTAGGGGAACCCTTACATTTTTGTCCTGTATACGCGCCATAAGTGTTTTTCGGGGAATCCAGTATTTTTCTAGTAAGATTGGATATCTCTATTTTCCATATATACCAAAATTACCAAACTTTTATTGGAAATAACCACCCGATAAATACTTTTCTGGGAACCCGTCTTTAATTAATTGCATATTTATCTTTTTCAAAAGTGTCAAGTAATCGGATTTTTTTATTTCAAATTATATTATCACCATTGGTGGACACGTAAGAACGAGTCAATTGCTTCATATTGTAATATTACAGGCGCCAAAATGCTCGTCTAAAGTGATCGATGAGTATAGATCTAATTGTAAGCATCTCTTACAAAATAAACTCGAAATTTGTATCATTCTTTCAGGGATAAAGATTCTGATACCTTTTCCGTTAATAACAAGCCAACAGTGAGGCTGATGTCCCCCGCCGAAATCCCCAAATAAATATATGACACATATTAATTAATCGCACATCTATTTTCTTTCAAAAGTATCGAACAATCAAACTGATTATCAACTATACACTAAGTTTCATCACTCTCTATCAGATAGAATCAAAGTTATCTTGTCCCAAAGCATCGACCAAGGAAATTGCTTATCTCTGCTTAGCTTTAGCTCGATATGTTAATCATTGAACTCAGTCAAGACGAACATCTACATCGAGTTTAAACATTCTACCTCAATTAGAAGAAGAGGTATTGTGTTCCAAAGTCTCGGCCAATGAAATTGCTTATCGCTCTGCTTACCCTGAGCAGAAAATGCTCAATATCGAACTTATTCAAGGTATTGATGTAATGAAACTATACACCAAGTTTCATCACTCCCACTTAATTGGAACTAAAGTTTTCGTGTCCCAAAGCATCAACCAATCAAATTGCATATCTCTACTTACCCTAAGCAGAGAATGTTCATCTTCACACTCCATCAAGGCATTGACCTAACAAACACCTACACCAAGCTTGAACATTTTAGCTCAATTAGAAGGAGAGTTATTGTGTTCCAAATTTTGGCCAATCAAATTGCTTATCGCTCTGCTTACCCAGAGCAGAAAATGCTCATTATCGAATTTAGTCAAGGTATTGATGTAATGAAACTATACACTAAGTTTTATCATTCTCACTTAATTGGAACTAAAGTTATCGTGTCCCAAAGCATCAACCAATCAAATTGCTTATCTCTACTTACCCTTAGCAGAAAATGCTCATCTTCACACTCCATCAAGGCATTGACCCAATAAAAACCTACACCAAGTTTGAACAATTTAGCTCATCTAGAAGGAGAGTTATTGTGTTCCAAATTCTCGGCCAATCAAATTGCTTATCGCTCTGCTTACCCTGAGCAGAAAATGCTCATTATCGAACTTAGTCAAGGTATTGATGTAATGAAACTATACACCAAGTGTCATCACTCTCACTTAATTAGAACTTAAGTTATCGTGTCCCAAAGCATCGACCAATCAAATTGCTTATCTCTGCTTACCCTAATCCGAAAATGCCCATCTTCGAACTCCATCAAGGCATTGACCTAATAAACACCTACACCAAATGTAAACATTCTAGGTCAATTAGAAGGAGAGTTATTGTGTCCCAAAAAGTGTGACGGACAGACATTCTAGGTCAATTAGAAGGAGAGTTATTGTGGCCCAAAAAGTGTGACGGACGGACAGACAGACGAACCCATTTTAATAGACCCCTGCTTTCTTCGAAAGGCGGGGGACAATAAACATAAATTTACAGAAAATGGGCAATCCGTGGATCAGATTTAACGTGTAAATACTGAAAATGTATTGTGCAATAGGTGGGCGAGTAGACTAAAGTCACATAAAATATATAATTAACCATAGGAAATCATCTCAAAACTGAGTTAATGTATTATGTAAAGACGGGGGTTTTAAGTTGCCGTACATACCGGTAATTGCTTTATAGTAGGCCCGAGAAATAAACTTGTTAAATGTCTTTTTTGTCACACATTTTTGGCAGATAAAATATACCAGTTGGCGGAAAAAAAATATGAACATTTTTTTATATAACAATTACCATCCATTTTGGTGGGAAAATAATTGAAAGCCAGTGTGAGCCCTGCGTGTGACCCATATTGCTCCCATTCTCTCATTACCATCAGGTTGAACCCTGTCGAAATTTATTCGTTAATAAGAGTTATTCCCCTTGTCACACCAATCGTGTATAAAATTTACGAATAGCACTAACAACAAGAATTGAAGAATTACTTAAACAGCTTTAACACCAAAATGTAAATACGAAAACGGTATGCAAAACTGAGTCAAACAGGTTGCAGACTTAAACCAAAGTACTCGAGTAAAAACACATAGAAATCCATCTAATTAATCAGGGATAATTACTTACTTGCAATCAGAACTCGCAGCACCAGCTTCCGGTGGTTTGCATGTACTACATGCATCATTAGCATTGGTTTCTGTAACTGCTACGGCTGAAAAGATAAGACAAACGTGAAAGATACCACAAGACCATGTACAATATGTACACATTGTCACCATGAAGAAATTAACAGGAACAGAAATGAAATCGGGATTAAATGCCTACTTGTCTGCACCATGCGGGTAATGAAGATGTGTATACGCCATGTAGCGCGCTATTCTGGACATTTTGCCAAGACAGCGGTGTTTCCGCCTACTCCTTACCGAATTCCAACTGCCAAGGGTTCTTTTACAAACCTCTTTGATTCAGATGAAAATAAATTGTTGAGTTGATTTGATGGGTTTCCTTAAAGATACTTCATGTAAGAATTAGATACAGAGCTGGCCGTTGCTTAAAAATGGATAATGCAAAATGAATATAAAATATACATTTTACTAATTTCTTAAAGATGCCAAATCTGCCAATAACAAGTTTTTATTTTGGCTTTAAATGTTATATAAATTATTTAAACATTTATTCACATGACAGGATATAATCAACACCCTATGACATCGGATTAAAATACGATCGCAATTTAATGATTTAATTTAAAAATGGAGGAACGACACTATAAACCTCAAAATGCCTTGTTCGGCATTTTTGTCCAAACGAGGTTGGCTAAAAAAAATGCCTCGTTTTCTAAACGTAGTTTTATTCAAGATAATTATTACCGGTTCTTGCTATCAACAAATAGAGAAACTCAAATAATGTCCTGACCTTCACGTGACTAATTGCAGATCTACAAATTAGATTATTTATCGGGATATCATATGGTTAATTATGATGGGTTACTTCACTGGAATTCTATTGTGTATAATAAAAATGGCGGATAAAGACAGTGTGTTGTTACTGTAGAGAGGTGTGTTAATTAACCGGCGGGTTAAAAATGATGTGTATGCTTTGATCGGTGTGTTTTCTCGATAGCATGTTATAACGGTTCACTCCCTTTTCGACTACACCCCATTTCGACTACAAAATTAATCAGCAATGAACTGTTCCACCGATTAAGAGATGTAATTAAGGCAACGATTATTGTAAAAAAAAAGCTTATTCATGGTTTATTATAGCTTGTTTTCTTTAAAATCAAAGCAAAAATATCAATGCAGGGTACATTTTTGTTTTGATAAATATTTGTACATTGGGTTTAATACTTGCTTATCTATATAAGATGAATTGTTTCAAATTTTGTACATTTATTCTTCAGTCAAAATTGCTGTTATCTTATTGTGTTTATTTTCAAATTCGCTATAGCCTAAATGGGATGTGTTAAGGAAGAATCTATTTTAGCTATAGAGAGAGTATAGGTATGGATAATAAAACCACCAGAGAATCTGTTGTTAGAAGCTGTATTCGAAATGGGACGTAGGTGAAATTGGAGGGTACCCTTATAACCCCACCAAAAGGGTATAACCAAAGACCAACAGTCTTAACCTGATGGGAAGATATTAAATCTAACTTTGAATAAGGAAAATATTTTTTTTTATTTAACCAATATTTTATTTCCATTAAGATCCGTAATTAATTTAGTATAAACTAGATCGAAATACTAGTTCACAGGTGTGATAACAATCTTATTTGGACTTAATAGTTATTTATTATTAAATGTCAAATCATTTGGTTAGATTAATTAAACCATGAACAGCACATACAATATTTTTGTTAGTTGATTTGTCTGATCTGGTGTCCCCATAAAGTAAGACGCGAATATCTTGTTCATCGGGTTTGAAAGTTTTGATAATTGTTGAGGTTTCAAAAGAAACATAGTCAATGCTAAGTTAAAGACTAAATTATTTTTCTATCGTAAATATAAAAAATAAATTGTATTGTAAATATGAAATGTTATGCCTTTTTGAATAATAATAATGGATTATTTGTTGTGTTTGATGGTTCGACCTTCTCCTTGCATATGTTAGATTAGATAAACACTAATTTCTTGTCTGCGATATCAGTTAGGTGGAAGCGGACACACACAGCGTTCTTAATTAATTAATGGCCCCAATCAGGTATTACTTAACACCTATAGGCCAACGTTTTCAGGGGTTCTACCCATTGTGACTGTATATTCTTGATACTAGTGCATTTAATAACGATTAGAAATATCAAAGGTGAAATTTATGAACTATTTAAATGTTCACATCACACCCCAAGATATCGTCAAGTTTAAATCACAACCTGACTGAGTCTCGATTAACAAGTAACGTTGCTGCGATAATAAACACTTTATGTCAAAACTTAAAACGGTACTCAGAATTATCATTTTGAATTATCTATGTTTGCACTATTATAGCGAGAATGGCGGGCTCTTTATCTAAATCTTATATATTGCACCTTTAACTAATGGGAGAATTTGTATATGAATAAATTTTTGTTTCGAAATACAAAACGGGAGATGAATTAAACTGTCATTTATTTAACACAAAACCATTTATATCCCAACATTAGCTAGTACCAACTGCCGCCAACATACTGAGCCAATGCTGAAAGATAAATTCTCTAAGATTTCTATAATGATTCCGTAATTGATAATGCAAAATAAACGTGACAGAGATTGTTTATTATCGTAGAAGCGGTACTTGTAAATCGAGACCCGGCCTCAATTTCCCGTTTTTCAAAATTAAATTATGAAATCCATTTAAACCTCACCATCCGATACTCTAGGGAGGTGATTATAGGCGTGTCATGTGATTAAATATCTGATTAATAATTTATAACAACTGAAGAAAGACCTGCAGCAAGCGAAGTTAGCTCTTACGTAATACATATTTAAACTTAAAATATAGAACGATACCAACTTCTCAACACAAGTCAAATCTGATTAAATTAACATATTTATTTTCTTCATTTTTTTAATGTAAAGCAAAGATGTCTCTAGTATATTGGGTCCAAATATAGTTGGGTGGCCGAATGGTTTAATACGTGCACTTTATGGCATAAGGTCTGTCATTGAGTCAAATTACTTAGTTTCAAATCCTCGCTTGTACCGGCCTGTCCAACGTCGAGGATTTTCTCCGGGTTCTCCGATTTCCTCCCACTGCTAAAATCCCTACGCGTAAGTGAATTACTGAAAAAAAAAATGGTGTTAGTCCCCAAATGACCAAGTGTGGGTCGAGTGCACGTTAATCCTCATAAATTTAAATTGAAAATAAATCTATTAAATATTAAACTTAATTTTAAAAAAATAACTTACCGAGAAAAACAACTAAAAAAGCAAAAGCCTTCATCCTGCTATTTAGATCAAACACGGTTTACTACAATTTCTTACAAATTACTGTGTACCCATGAAGTGTCTAGGAGTTATCAAATTAATTCTATTTATATGAGTTTTTTGTAGTTCAACCGTACCATGTGATAATAATGCTCCAAATAAGTACAATAACCCTTGACATCACACACCCAAATCTATTTTGTCCTGTAAATTCTCGTTGAATTGTCAAGGGGTTCTGGATGGTGGTTGGTTAGCGCGTGCGCGTTGTATCATAAGGTCTGCCATTGAGTCAATTCCAAAATTGTCGATTCCACAATTGTACTTGACAAGGAGAAGGGTCGCATGTCAACCACGTGGCTTTTCTCCGGTTTCCTGCTAAAGAACCCTACGCGCAAGCTAATTATTAAAATAAAACTGAACCATATGTTGGTCTCGAAATGACCTAGTTTGTGTCGAGTGGACGTTAAATGGCCAATCCGGAAAATGTTTTGGAGAATAAAACTGCTTAATTTTGTGTTAAAATCCCTTAAAATCCTCTACCTTAGGGCCGAGCAACTAACCCGATATATATGTGATACGTTTTCAAACAACTTAAACCCATCAGTCTTAATCTGGAAATGGAGACCGGTGTCCCAAGCTGTATTATGCGGTGTCTGGATAAAACAAGACTTATATTTTATAAAAATAGTATGTAGATAAAATTTACCTTTCGACACAGGTCATTCGCTGTATAGACCTCTAAAGGAACGGGAATCGATTATCAGGTCACCCAACGAAAAATTTGACCCGAAATCTTAAAGCTACGTTCCCAGAAAATTATTTATCGGGTGGTTACTTCCAATAAAAGTATCGCAATTTAGGTATATATGGAAATTAGAAATATCCAATCTTACTAGAAAAATACTGGATTCCCTGATAGTCTGGAGGCTCAGCGAGGGGGGGGGGGGTCCATCAAATGGGCACAAAACCAGATCCAACTTTTCTAGAGTAAAATTTTGCGTAGAATACGATCCCGAGTGGTAATCATCCCGCCGTTGGGGCGTTTTCGAGATATTCGGGATCAAAGGTCAAATGGGTTCATTTGCACTGAAAGTGAATGCGCGGTCATTCTTGTATCATGAAAATAAGCTGAAAATGATCGAAAGTAATCACACTTTCAATAAAAATGTAAACTTGCTAAATTCACCTTTGTTCTTTGTGACCCCAGAGGTTAAAAGGCGTGTCTGCACGCGAAGATTGAGCGCCTGATGTATATGTTGATAAACTTTATGAAAAGTTAGACGTACAACACTTTCTGAGATAAAAATTACGGAAAAAGACGCGGGCAGTGGATAATCCCAGAATTTAATACGGCTTCGATATTTGTAATAAATAGTCAGCGATAAAGGCAATATCGACTTGTGTATGCAATGAATTCTCCTCCGACTTCATACCGTTGTGTCACGTGACACAACCATGGCCTCTTTTGATCGATTTTTTATACACGGCTACTCCCTGACAATTGCAATGTTTTGAGAAGGATTTGAAGCACAATTATGATAAATTAATTAGTTTGAATATGTTTTTTGACCAAATCACCCAGTTTGTACCCGGGAATGTATCTTTAAAAGGGTTACGTTTCCATATAAGCAATTTTGCCGTTCACGTCCAAACGACTAAATATTTTGAGCTGACATTTTGAGACAGGGTAAACACACCATTCCTCAATATTTTGGCGCATAAATTTCATACGTAATCGGGATTTTATTTTTGAGACTCTGTTCAAATCGGGATAGACCCTTTTAACCCCATCTCTCCCCCTTCCCCTCTCTCTCTCTGATTAATAATAATGACGTGTTTCACAATGTCATGGCCACTGTTTAGTGGCAAATATCATTGCTCGAGGAAGTTTTTATTCGTCCACATTCAGACACGAGTGGAAAAAACATTTAGGTCTACGTGCGTTTATGCATGTTTAAAAGCGAAATGGTTTGGTATCTCGAATTACAGTATAATACAATACTTATTATATGTTTTATTAAATTAGAATAAAAACCGAAAACAGATTTACACCCTACGTGAGACAGGGCTCGCGTCTGGGCCCTGGGACAAGCAACTAGATGTTGTTTTCTCCCATCGGGCTCGAAAATTGTTAAAAGATAAATGGTCTCTAGCGTTATTTGGGGTATATCTGGGGGTCACTTTGCTAAAACACAGAAACTATGATTTAAACATATAAACAGAATGAATGGTCTTACGACATCTTTTAGCGAAAACAACTACTAAACTCATTTAACTTTTGGCCCGGAATATCTCGAAAACACCCCAATGGCGGGCTGATTACCACTCGGCATCGTATTCTACGCAAAATTTTACTTTAGAAAGGTTGGGTCTGCTTTTGTGCCCATTTGATGGACACCCCCCCCCCCCCCGCACTGAGCCCCCAGAGGTTGTCTGATGTGAATGAAGGATTTTGCAAGGTTTATTGGTGTTGAGGGTTTCTAAGGATTGAGGTGAAGAATCGTTATTAGAACAGAATACGTGATAGACACTATTTTAAAATTGATACGTTGACGGTGAAGAATTGTCATTTAGGGCAGAATACGTAATAGACAGTATTTTAAAATTGATACGTTGACGGACTGGACGCCAATGGAGATCTTTAAAAATTAATAAATAGAACCTTTCTAATACAGAGAACGTTTTTAATTTATTTGATAATACAAAGAAAATGTAAAGGGCATGGCCGTGGTTCCTCGTAATTGAGGAATGGTGGAATATCTTTCTCCTCAAGGCGTCTCCCATGTTAAAGGAAATGGCGTACGCCGAGGAGAAAAGGTGATTCCTGCAAGCACCTATATCCTAAATTTCAATCGTCCTGATATTCCAATGACTCTCAAAGCAGGTTATCTTCGATGTTACAAATGTCAGAAATTTTGACATAGCAAAACCGTCTGGAGAGGTAAGGACACCTGCGCTCGTTGTGGTCATGTTGGCCACGACAGCGTTACATAACAGGCGCATTTGTGTTATACCAATTGCAAGGGTAAGCACTTTGCTTATTCTCGCGAATGCCCAATATGACAAAAGCAAAAATAATTCAACAGGTAATGTCTGAACGAAAAATATGATATTTCGATGCTCGAAAGTAAGTAGATCTAACTGCACTCTTTCCCATTTCATCTCGAGAGAAATCCTACAGGCGTAGTTAAAGTATCTACAAAATGCACCTCTGTTCCGACAGATTTAAACTGGTCACATAAGCAGGAATTCAAAACTTTGACAACATCAGATTATATTAAAGGCGTATCGAGCTCCTCGAGTCTCCTCCCTCGCATCAAACTAAGGCTCGGGATCGCAGTGTACGGGTATCCCAGCCTCGCGGGAAAAGGTAGTATATTCAAAAACAATTGTTAAAGTTGCAATGATAAATTTAATTATTCAATGGGATTGTCGTGGTTTAAAACAAAATTTTAATGAAGTTCAACTTTAATTCAAAAGTACAATCCTTTAGCTATTTGGTTACAGGAAACTTTCCTAAGGAATTTTGACACTTTGTCTTTCAGACATTTTGTTGGTTACCATCATCATGCAGTTGGTGATGGTAGAGCTCATGGGGGTGTTTCTATTATTCTTAATGGAGATATCCCCCCAGAGTCAAGTCACCCTCAACTCACCTTTACGGGCAGTTACAGTTAGTGTGATTTCTTTTATATTCCTTTACGGGCAGTTACAGTTAGTGTGATTTCTTTTATATTCATTTAACACTCTTCCTCCTAGTTTGCATCTGAACTCCAGAGATCTTGATGACCTTGTTAGCTTCCCCTCCAGTTTATAATTACGGGAGTTTTCAATGGTCATCATTCATTTTGGGGTAGTCCAGATACCAACAGAGGTAAACAAACAGCGGACTTCATTAACATTAATAATTTGTGTTTATTAAATGACGACTCGTCTACTTATCTACATCCTGCCACGGCTTCTTTTTCTTCCCTCGATCTCACCATTAGCATTCCGGTCCTGTTTCAGGATTTTGCATGGAGTGTAAATGAAGATCTGTGTGGTAGCGACCACTTTCCCATCTTAATATATAACAATGACCCCTGTGGAAGTTGCATAAGGTTGACTGGGCTCTGTTTGAATCTTTGTGAATCTTGTGCAGATGAGCTTATGGCCTTATTCACTTCAATTCCTCAAGATGTAGCTGAGCAGGCGATTCCAAAAACCACGACCGAATCAAAACGTTCAAATAAACCATGGTATAATGATGATTCGGTCTGAAAGAGAGTTATCGTATTCCGAGATGACTAAAGACACATCCATCCTTCCATGGAGAATATTGCTGCATACCAAATGGTCAAGGCAAAATCCCGTAGAATCATACGTCAAGCAAGGAATGCGTCAAGGATATGTCTCGAGGATCAATTCCCGTATGGGATAGGATTCGTAGGATAAAAGGTAAAAGTAGTGCATTATCAGTTAACCATCTAAATGTCGATAATACTATACGTTAACAACATTTCTTGATATTGCTAATTCTCTGGCCAGTTCATTTTCATTCATCATCCAATTTCTCCTCTAATGCCTTTTGAGGCATTATAAAAAACACGAGAAAGGGCGACTTAATTTCAAGTCCCGCAATGATGAATGTAATAATGATCGTTTTTCAATACAGAGCTATTTGAGGACTAGGGACACTGCTACTGGTCCATATGAGATATACTACCAAATTGTAAAACATCTACCTATTCTAACACTTCCAATCTTACTGGATCTTTTTAACCGGATTTGGGTAGATGGAAATTTCCATCCTTCGTGGCATGAAGCCACAATAATTCCCATCCCTAATTGGGTAAAGACCATACGAATCCTACCAACTATCGTCCGATCGCTTTAACTAGCTGCATTTGCAAAATCCTGGAGAGATTTATCAATCCAATGGATTCAGGTTCCAAAGTAGCACTCTTGATCATCTTGTTTGATTCGAATCGTGCGTTAGGGACGCTTTCACCCAGAAGCAACATTTACTTGCAATATGTTTTGAGCCGGAGAAAGCTTATGATACCACATGGAAATATGTTATCATGCGTTGCTTGAATTCACTTCAACAATGGGCAACCGAAAATGGATTTCGTTTTTCGAAATCCAACACT